CCCACTCTGAGTGGTATGACTGTGACTGTCATTCCACTGTGTCACTAAGCTGGTGGGTACTACAGCAGGCCGTGACCATGACATCCATATCCCCAAAGTGGGCATTCCTTTTCTTTTTTTAAGATTTATTTATTTACTAGAGAGGTAGAGTTACAGACAGAGCGAGAGACAGAGAGAAAGGTTTTGTATCCACTGGTTCACTCCCCAAATGGCTGCAATGGCTGGAGTTGGGTTGATCTGAAGCCAGGAGCCAGGAGCTTCTTCCTGGTCTCCTATGTGGGTACAGGGGCCCAAGCACTTGGACCATCATCTATTGCTTTTCCAGGCCATATCAGAGAGCTGAGATGGAAGTGGAGCAGCTGATAAATTAACTGGCGCCCATATGGGATGCTGGAGCTGCAGGTGGAGGCTTAGCCCACTACGTCACAGCACTGGTCCCCAACGTGGGCATTTCTTAGATGGCTGAACAATTCAGTTTTAGACCTTTCACATTGGAAATACAGGATGGGGCCAGAGTCCCCCTTGCCACTGCTGCTGAGGCTCAGTGAATGCTGGGGGGTGAAGGATGGGGAGTGCCCTGGAGGAGGCTGGGCAATTGGGAGATTCCCCCGGGCTCCCAGCTCCTCCCCTCCCCCAGGGCCCAAGCAGCTACCTCATCATCTTACAGGAGGCCTCAGGTTCTCAAACAGCTTCCTGTCCCTCCCCCAGGGCTCCTCCACCCATACCAGTGGCTATTCTGGGCTCTAGCTTTCTTTGTAGAAGAAGCCAGCCCTTCCCCCATCTGTCGCAGACACCGGGCTCAGCCAAGGGCACATGGTGAGACAAGGTTGGGGCCAGGCCAAGCTACCCTCATGGACCCTGACCCTGTCACTCGTATGTGTACCTGGCGTACCCTGCAGGACTGACCTTCAGTCTGAGATGGGCTGGGTGAGACCTGCAGAGGGAGCTCAGCCCCAGCTTGGCTGTCCTTGGGCTGTGTGGAGCCTGGGTAGCCCCAGATGGCCCTCATGGCCAGTATCCCCTCTGTGACATTTGATAAAGGCAACCCTAAGGCCCCAGAGGTACCACAAGGGCCACTCGCACTGTGATGAGTCACAAGTGTCCAGGATGGCATCTGGAGCAGCCCACAGCATCCCTGTCAGCTCAGTCTCATCCTTAGTGTAGGAGCCATGCTGGACTGCATTGTCCTTGCCATCAGATGCCAACATTGGGAGCCTGAGGACTGGGCTGGGGGCAGTGGTGACCACCACACCATCCCCAGCTTGTGAGTTCCTCCAGGGCAGGTCTGCTCTTTGCTCCTGCCCTTGATCCACAGCTGTGCTCCAAGGTTTGTTGATGTTTGAGTGGATGAATGAATGATGTGATACACAGGGTGGAGGAACTGTGCAGAGAGCCTGGGGGTGGGTCACTTCACAACTCATCCCCTCCCATCAGAGCCTCACTTCTCGCCTCTCTGAAATGGGCATACAAACACCTGTAACTGCTTTGCTTTGTGGAATCAGAGGGTCTTCCCAGGACACCTTCTGTCCATTACCCACCCCCCAACCGAGTCAGTATGGACTGAAAGACCCACGTACCCTCATCCCACAGGGCTACAAGGCAGGGTTTGTGTGCTCAGCACCTTCTGTCCCTCCATGGGCATGGCCTCTTCAGGAGAGAGTGACCCTGGACTGGGAGCCTGGGCACCCATTGTCTGTGCTGCCCTGAACATCTCTGGCACTTGAGTGGGCTCAGATTCCTCAGCTGGCCTTAGGAAAGGTGTGGTGACCTCACCTAGGGGTGGTCTGGGGTCAAGGGGCCCAGGGCCCACTGTGCAGCCTTGATCAGGTGTGGGACCCAGGAGGGCTGCCTCAGCTCTTGAACTTGCCTCTTCCTACATGAGGCAAGAATAGGCTGGGATCACAGGATATGAAGCTCACCAGACACTAGCTCAGAGCTTGCCTGGAAGCAGCACTTGGCTGGGACCATGATGTGATAGGTGGAAGCAGATGAGATTGTACCTGTAGCAGGGTTAGGAGCAACTCCACAGCTGGGCTGCAAAGACTGGGGACCTGTAGCTCCAGGACCAGAACCAGTTACACCTCTGAGGAGCCAGGGGAGGCACAGCCATGGTCTCCTGGTGCTTGTTTCCAGTCGAGACAAAGAAGGGGGAGACCGGGGCTGGCGCTGTGGTGTAGCAGGTTAAGCAGCCATCTGTGCCAGCATTCCATATGGGCACTGGTTTGAGTTCCAGATGCTCCATTTCTGATCTAGCTCTCTGCTAATGCACCTGGGAAAGCAGTGGAGGATAGCCCAAGTGCTTGGGCCCCTGCCTCCCTCATAGGAGACCTGGATGAAGCTCCTATCTCCAGTCTGGCCAGCCCAGCCCTGGCCGTTGTGGCCATTTGGGGAGAGAACCAGCAGATAGAAGATCTTTCTCTCTCTCTCTCTCTCTCTCTCTCTCTCTCTCTCTCTCTCTCTCTCTCCCTCCCTCTCTATAATTCCGACTTTCAAATAAACAAATAATCTTAAAAAAAATAAAAAAGAAGAAGGGGGAGGCCAAGCTCCCACAGGCCCTTGCTAGACTGGTGTCCTGGGAGGCCATTAGTCCCTGGACACAACAAGATTGAGTGACTGGGCTGGTGAAGAAGCCATGAACTATCTGACCTCCTGGTAGTTTATTATTTAGGTGGACAGAGATAGAAAGAGTAGCCCAAGGTGCCAGCTCCTAGCATCCCTGGCAAGGTAGTTGCAGAAAAAAGGGATGAGGGATGATGGAAAAGCGGACTTGGGAGATGAGGAGTTACAAGAGGGTAGAAGGATGTGCATGGCTCGAGCCCCCTCTAGGGTCAGCAGGGGAAAGCCATGAGGGGCCCATGGACAGAGCCATTTGGAGGGCACTGGTGCTGTGGCAAGAGCAAGTGTGTGGTGTGGGAGACTCGGGCTAAAGGTGGGAAGGAAGGGATATGTGGTGTCCAGAGCTGTGGAGATCGGAAGTGAAGGGCAGGAGGCCATCCCAGACAGGGTCTGGGGTGGGAGGAAGAGTGGGAGAGGAAGCCAATGTGGGGGCAGGAATGGAAGAGTCACAATGGGAGGGAGCTGCTAGGTGTGATGAGGGTAACCAGGAAAAGATAGGTGCAGATGTGCCGAACACAGGTTGGGCCTTGGGTCAGGCAGCCTAGGGAACCAGACTCTGGAGAGATGCAGTACCTTGGGGACACCAGGGGTGTCTGATCACTGAGGAGGTCAGAGGTCAGAGGTCTTGGCCGAGTGTCCCATGTGCAAGGTTAGGGGCCTCACTATGCAGCCTGAAAGGGTAGATCTTGCACAGCCCCCCTGCCCCCCTTTTTTGGGTCAGGGAAATGAAATCCTTAAGTTTGCCAGGCCACCGACAGTAGCCCTCATGTTCAGAATTTCATTGACTTCTGTTAGTTTTTCCCAGTAGAGTCTTCCTTGGGGTCCTAAGAGGACCACTGGGAGAGACACAGACTCTTCACCCTGAGCTACTGAGGCCAGGGGGCAGTAGTCCAGGCTCTCCCGCTGAGATGGGTGGGGATGCCTAAGGCCACATTGAGTGCTGGGCAGGGCTAGGTTGGGTCCTGAGCAGAGACTGGACACCCAGTAGCACCTGGGAAACCACAGCTAATGGTGGCTGGTGGTCTGGGATCCGGCTGTGGTGGGGGTGACCAGTGGGTTGAGCATTGCCCCCTGCATCAGCCTCAGCTCCTAGGAGTCAATAGACATAGGGCTGGAACAACAGCAGAGCAGGGGGTGGGGCACAAGTTTCCTCCAGGGACTAGAAGCAGAGGAGGTTTGGTAGTAGGGTCCCATGTTGCTGACAGCCCCAGGACTGTATGTCTGGGGCAGCCACTCTCACAGAACATTTGTAACTAGGGGTGCCAGCAGTGAGGTTCCCACTGCCAGATGCTTCTGCTGCTGTCCCCTTGACACAGGGGTTCCTCACAGGGTGGCCATGCTGGGGGACCCTGGAAGGTACTCAGTAGGGCAGGTCAAAAGTGGACTAAAAAAGTCCAGGAGAGAGAGGCTGGGGCCTGCCTGCTGTTCATGGGACAGCTGGGTGCTGTCCTGGCCTGATCCCTGGGGAGTTTCACGCATGGCCTTGAACAGCCTCCTTCCAGCTCCTACTGTGGACTTGGAGCCAGGCCCTGTGAGGACCCTGATTTCCTTCTCCCTGCCTCCCAACCCAGAGCCCCATGGGCTGTTCCCTTGGGAGAGGCCCAGACTGACAATGGTTTTGAGAATTCCTGGATCCTGAGAGAGCGGTTGAGATGGGGGGAGAAAAAGGGGGTGGGATTTGGGCCAGAGGAGTTGCCTGCTAGGGATAGATCCTCCTGGAGGTGGGGGCACCAATGACTGCCACCCTGAAGTCCTAGGGTAGGGACCTGGGTCCAGTGTAGTCTGTACATCTCCAGGGAGGGAGCTGGGCCAGCAGGGAGGCCTGGCCAGGGGATGCTGAGGACAGTTGGGCAGCTGGTTCAACAGCTGAGATCTGGAGCCTGGTAGGCCTGAGCTCAAGTCCCTGCTATGGTCTTGGGCAGGTCACTTGGGATATCTGGGTCATGGTGTCTCCTTCATAGGACAAGGATACTGGGGCTGGCACTGTGGCACAGTGGGTTAATGTCCTGGCCTGAAGCGTCAGCATCCCATATGGGCGCCAGTTCTAGTCCCGGCTGCTCCATTTCCAATCCAGCTCTCTGCTGTGGCCCAGGAAAGCAATAGAAGATGGCTCAAGACCTTGGGCCCTTGAACCCACGTGGGAGACCCAGAAAAGGCTCCTGGCTCCTGGCTTCGGATTGGCGCAGCTCCGGCCATTGCGGCCATCTGGGGAGTGAACTATTGGATGGAAGACCTCTCTCTCTCTCTCTCTCTCTCTCTCTCTCTCTCCCCCCCTCCCCCTCCCCCTCCCTCTCTGCCTCTCCTCTCTCTGTGTAACTCTGACTTTCAAATTAATAAATAAATCTTTTTTTTTAAAGGGATACTAATAGAAACTTTCTCCGCAGGTGTTTTGGTGACGGCGAGCTGAGGCCTCAGAGGCAGCTGAAGTCATAGCTCCTTCCTGTAAGCCCAGGTGGGAGAGAGAGGGGCTCAGCTTGGCCTAGGAAGGTCCCTAGGAATGGCCCAGGGCTACTGTACTAATTGACCTCTACCCAGGCCAGGGTACAGAGAAAGGATGGGAGAAGTTTCTGAATTCCCAGGGAACAGGGAGCAGAGCTGTGGCAATGGAATATGGACCCCAAAGACAATTGTGTCCTAGTGTGGGAATCTGGGTTTTGAGGTGATGAGGAGATGTGGTGGGAGATGATCTGGAAGCACTGGGTGGGTCCAAGTCAGGGTCTTTTCAAGGGAAAGAGTGAGACAGGAGTGAGAGCAGATGTGTGGATGGAAGCAGAGGGGTCAGGGGGTTTGGGGAGAGCATCGTGGTACAGCATCCACATCCCATATCGGAATGCCTGTGTTCAAGTTCTGGCTGCTTCACTTCTGATACAGCCTCTGTGAGTAAGCAGAAGGGGATGGATCAAGTGCTTTAGTTCCTGCCCCCACACGGGAGACCAGGATGCAGTTCTGTCTCCTGGCCTCAGCCTGGCCCAGTCCTGGCTGTTGTGATCATTTGGGGAGTGAAACAGAGGATAGATCTTTCTCCATCTCTTGAGTTTCTCTCTGTAACTCTGCCTTTCAGATAAATAAATCTTTTAAAAAGATTTACTTAGATTTATTTTATTTATTTTAAAGGGAGAGAGAGATCTTCCACCTGCTGGTTCACTCCCCAAATGGCCACAATGGCCAGGGCTGGGCCAGACCGAAGCCAGGAGCCAGGAGCTTCATCCAGGTCTCCCAAGTGGGTGTCAGGGGTCCAAACCCTTGGATCATCTTTGCTGCTTTTCCCAGGTGCATTACCAGGGAGCTGGTTTGGAAGTGAAGCAGCCAGGACACGAACCGGCACCTGTGTGGGATGCCAGCATTGCAGGTGGAGGCTTTATCTGCTATACCACAGCGCTGGCCCCAATAAATCTTTTTCTTAGAAAAGATTTGAAGCTGTTGTGCTGCTGGCTTTGAAGTTGGAGGCAGAGCCATGAGCACAGGGCTGGAAAAAATGAGAAAATGGGCTACCCCCCCATCCCCCAGTCTCCAAAAGGAACACAGTCCTGCTGATATCTTGGTCTTAACAGACCCTTCTGACACTCAACCCCACTTATTGAGGGTGAAGGTCTGGATCCATCCTTCTCAGATTGGGGTAGGCAGCAGGAGAAACAGGTCTGCCTCTCACAGTCGTGGCTCTCCAGCTAATGGCTGGTCCTGGAAGGAATCCTGTGCTGGGCTTAGCTCATCTGGGGAATGTCAGCAACCAGTGAGTTAGTTACAGTCCAGCTTTTACTGTAGACATGGTGGAGCTGGGCCCTGGGCTGTGCTGAAGACATCGAGAGGGTCCTTGATGCCCAGTTCAATGGGGCCATGGTCATAAAGAGCATGTGAGTATGTAATGTGTACAGGTGTATTTCTGTTTGTGAATTTTTTAAAGATTTATTTATTTGGATGGCAGAATTACAGAGAGGTAGAGGCAGAGAGAGAGAGAGAGAGATCGATCTTCCATCACTGGTTCACTCCCCATATGGTTGCAACAGCTGGAGCTGGGCCGATCCAAAGCCAGGAACCAGGAACTTCTTCTGGGTTCCCACACGAGTCCAGGGGCCCAAGGACCTGGGTCATCTTCTACTGCTATCCCAGGCCATAGCAGAGAGCTGGATCAGAAGTGGAGCAGCTGGGACTTAAATCAGTACCCATATGGGATGCCAGCACTGCAGGTGGTAGCTTTTCCCGCTACACCACAGTGCCAGTCCCCTGTTCGCAGATTCTTGAGTGTGTGTTTGGTTCTACAGATCATTCCCCCCACCTAGGGCCAGACAGGGACTTGTCAGGCTGGAGTGTATCCTGAGTGGAGCACAGTGGTCAGGCTGTGGGGACTGAGGACTCCAGTGAAAGAAGCACAGCCACTGTCCTGGAGGCCTTTGGGACAGGAGTGGTGCTGCTGAGCAGGGGTGGGGAAAGTCCACTCAGGGGCAGGAAGCACAGGGCCACAGGGGACCCTCCAAAGGCCCCTCCCAGGGTCAGTAAGTCTCTGTGGCTAGGGTGACAGTGACAGAATCTCGCAGGGAATCTGCAGGACTCTTTCCTGGGCTGCTTGCTCCCAAGTTCACAGAAATCACTGCTGACCTTTGGGGATGGTCAATTCAGGATGGAAAGCACATGAATAAATAAGAAGTGAAACCACTTTTTCTGATTTATGTAAGGATATTTATTGAGAGTTTATTGGGTGCAGGGGAAAGGTGGGATGATGGGTGGGTAGAGGACAAGGTGAGAACGTGCTGGGGTCTGCAGCTCCTGGCCCTTAGGGGTGGGTGAGGGTGGGGCCCTAGGAGCATTCTGCAGGGACCAGGCTCCTCTCCATGGCTTGGCCCTCGTGTGTGACCTGGCAGGTGGCTCTCTGGTAGGATTTCCACTGATTGGCTGACAGGCTGAGGAAGCTGCTGGCCGCGTACTTGTTGTTGCTCTCTTTGGAGGGCTGGGTGGTGTCCATGCCCTGGGTGATGGAGGTGCCATCTGCCTTCCAGTTCACCGTCACGGTGCCCGGGTAGAAGTCATTGATCAGACACACTAGTGTGGCCTTGTTGTCCTTGAGTTCCTCAGAGGAGGGCGGGAACAGAGTGAGTGAAGGAGTGACTACGGGTTGACCTGTGGGGTGGCAGAGGGATAGCAGGTCAGAGGTCAGATGTCCCTCATGGAGCCCCTGACCTTGGCCTCAAACTGTAGGTGGACCCAGGCTCAGGGCAGGGTTTCGGGTCAGTGCCTTGCTAGCCTGAGGTCAGGTCACTGATAGGACACTTCCTGCTGGAACACTCCTTGTGCCCCACAAGTGAGGGATCCACAGTCCCCCTCTTTGGATCTGGTCTTACCATGTGTCCTTGTCACCTGCCAACTCTCAACTGTGCTACCCAAAAACTGGATGGGACAGGGTCTGGGAGCTCATTTCTCCTGGGCTGTGTTTCTGTTCTGGGGCCTCTGAGATCTGACAGCTGCCTGCCTACCTGTGTTCCAACAGGGCATATGTCTGCCCTGTGTTCTGGCTTCTTCTTCCACCAGAAGGGACTTTCTGGCCCCCTGTCTTCCTGGTACCATCACTGCTACCCCTTGCCAGCGTCTCACGGAGCTGTTTTCTGTCCTGAGCTGTTGACAGTGGCTTTTCTGAGGGTGTCCAGCCAGGTGGACTTTCCTGGGAAAGCTATCTCAGCCATGAGTATTATGTAACTGGTGGGTGACTGTCCCTTGAGGTGTCCTTGTCCTGGGCATGGTCTCTTGTCCATGGTGGCTCAGGACAGGTCCAGCTTTGGGGCTCTGAGTATTCTGAGAGCTGTTTTGTCTGGGTTTATGCCCATGTTGGAACAGAAGGAGGCTTCCTGTTCCCAGGGGCCACACAGGAAATTTTTCCAACGAGGATCCTTGTTCCCCTCCCATGCATCCTGCCTCTCTCCAAGTCCCCAGAGAAAGGGCCACATCATTGTGTTGAGAGCAGTCCCATCCCTGAGACCCCAGGAGGACAGAGCCCCAGATGCTGAGCACGCCCAGCCTCTTTCTCCAGTCGCATTGCCCCTGAGCCCCAACCTGAGCCCCTTTTCCCTGGTTCTGGAAACAGTAGACCCTGAAGTAGGGAGTGGACATCCCAGAGTGCAGAGGGGAATGTCTCTGAAGAGAGGACTTGGGGTCACAATGAAACCAGAGCACGGTGCAGAAAAGGCTCATTGGGATCCCCTCCTGCCCTGACCAGGTGTCTAAGAAGAGTGGACAGGCTTCAGAGGGGTGACAGGTAAGGCAAAGATGTTATAGACCACAGACAGTGCAAATTCACAGTATAATGTCTCCAAATTTCAACTCAGATCCCAGAAAGGAAGGAAAATAGACACTCACCAAGGACGGTCAGCTTGGTTCCTCTGCTGAACACATAACACGGTGACACAGCCCCATGCACAAAACCTGCTGCACACGAGCCAGGCGACCTGCAGCTGCACCAGGTTCCAGGGTTGGGCAACACAGTCACAGGGCACTTTTGTCTCGTGGCAGGTGAGTTGGTCCCTCCTCATATTGAACTTCACTTTAGCGTCTCTGACATGGTGGAACTGGACCTTGGGCTGAGATGAGGCTGTCAGGAGAGAACTTGATGTCCAGTCTGGTGGGGCCATGATTGTAGAGTGTGTGGGTGTGGAATGTGGGCAGATGTGATTTTTTTTCTTACAAATTCCTGAATGTGTGCTTTTGTCCCATAGATCATTACCCCATCCTGTACTGGCTCCTAGAACAACATTACTATGTTAGATCCCACAGAGATCCTAAAAAGAGCAGTGAGGATGGGCCAATTATTGTAGTGGTTGGCTGTTTTGAGATGCCTACATCCCGTTCTGAGTCCTGGGTTTAAGTCCCAGCCACATTTCCTATTCCAGCTCCTGCTGATGTGCACCTTGGAAGGCAGCAGGTGATAGCTCAAGTAGTTAGGTTCCTGCCAGCCTCGTGGGAGATCTGGATTGAGTTCTGGGCTCCCGGTTTCCCTTTGGCCTCACTCTGTCTGTGAGGCAGAGCATCTGGGGAGTGAATCAGTGCATGTGAGATGTCTGTCTCTCTGTTTCTTTGACTTTCCAAAACGTTAAGTAAAGTTTAAAATAAGAGAGAGTCCAAGAGAAAAGAAGATAAAAGAGAAATAAAAAAATACAAATAAAAAAATAAAACAAAAAACAAAAAAAAAACCAAAATATTACAAAACAGTAAACAGAGGGCTTATTATTGGTGCAGCCCTGAGCCCAGAGAAAAGTTGAGAAGTTAGAGGTCAAGGTGTCCCTCTTCATTGAAGGAATCTCTACTTTTAGACCCACGAAGTGAGGCCATACAGATGCTGAGGGCTGCAGGAACCCCCCAAGTTTCTTCAAACTTAGAGACTGAAATTGGGGTAGGGGTTGCTTTGCTCAAGCACTGAGACCCCTCTCTGTTCCATTGAGGCCCTGCAGCCCCCTGTGTGTGTAGGCTCCATGCTGGGCTGACTGGGCTGTCCAGCAGCTCTACTGAAGGCTGCTGTGCTGTCCCCTATGGGATGGAGGCAAAGACGGGGGCCCGTGAGCACCTGGGAACCAAGCCCTGAGATAGCTGGGCCTGCACATCTAGGCGGCCACCTCACTCGTGACAGACTATGGGTCCATGTGGGTACTCGGCCATGACAGCAAGGAACAGTCCTCATGGGGTTGTGGGGTGTGGAAGAGCTGGGTCCCCCTGGAAGCCTGACCTCATCTGTCACTCTCATGACACGCTCACCCCACCCTGATCTACTCTGACCTGGCTCTGACTCTAGTCCTGAAGTTAAATCTCACTCCACCTCCCTCAGACAAATCAGTGGAATTCGTAATGCTCTTATCCAAGTTCTCCCAAGTCCATCCCTAATGCAAGAAAAATCTCATCACTGTTCAGGTATTGACAGCTCAATACTGGAGTCTAACCTTGTCGTGATCCTTGAGACCCCAGCCTCATGCTAGTGTTAACCTTGACCTAACTCTGACAGATGCCCACCTGAACATCTACACAAGCCTCCTTTGCACCTTAGCCATGTGCCTGGCAGTAGCAACGAGAACACCCTTGTCTTCCCAGCTGCTAATGGGACTGAACGGGATTGCAAACTTGTTAGATTATGTGTACTGTTTTGCTGCTGTGGGACTTGTCAGTAACTTTATTTGGATAACTTGTATTGGGAAAGTTCAGGAATGCACTGCTGTGCTCTATCTTCTATCCTTCCCACAACTCACTAGAGACAGCACAGCCATGGAGCCCTAACCTGGTAAACCTTGCCCTGAGTGGTCCCTGCTATGGGACAGGGCAGGTCGACCTCTGTTCCTGTGGGATCTTGACCATGGCTGAAGGGTCTGCAACCCCAGGTCCTTTCCTCCCTCCCTCCCTCCTGGGAACCCCCTTCCTGTCCACTGGTTCCCCTCTCTGGATCCCACATCAGTTCTTCAGGGCTCCGTCCTCTCCCAGGGGGCACAGAGGGCTGCTCCGCAGGGTCAAGCTCCTGCTCGGGACTCAGTCCCTCCAGACAGAGGGAGCTCACCTGGTTCCCTGGTGGACTGTGGGGGTCACAGAGGATGGGATCTCACCAAGAAGTGCCCCTGTCCCTGTGCAGGGATCCCTCAGCCCTGGAGATAAGAAGACCCTGACAGTGCACTGGAAACCTGACTCTCTCATGATAAGGTCTTTAGTAAGGAGGAGACCGGGAAGGAGGCAGTGAGGCTGCCTGCTCCAAATGTACCAGATGGGGCTCAAGACATTGGGGAGCTGGGGAAAGGGTCTGGATGACAATGGCATGTCCTGGGTGATGGCTGGACATGAACTAGGAGCACCCATAGTCCCATGGATGCCACGATACTTCTGCCAACACTAAGACTCCCAGGTGTCAGTGAATATGAGATGTGAAAAAAACGAGATGGACAAAGGTTTCTGATTGAAAAAGTGAGGATATTTATTGAGAGTTTATTGGGTACAAGGGAAGGGTGGGATGATGAATGGGTGGGGGACAAGGTGAGACCCTTGGGGTCTTCTGGGGTCTGCAGCTCCTGGCCCCTGGGGGTGGGTGAGGGTGGGGCCCTAGGAGCATTCTGCAGGGGCCAGGCTCTTCTCCACCGTGTGGCCCTCATGCGTGACCTGGCAGGTGACACTCTGGTAGGATTTCCATTGATTGGCTGACAGGCTGAGGAAGCTGCTGGCCGCATACTTGCTGTTGCTCTGTTTGGAGGGCTGGGTGGTGTCCACGCCCTGGGTGACGGGAGTACCATCGGCCTTCCAGTTCACCTTCACGGTGCCCGGGTAGAAGTCATTGATCAGACACACCAAGGTGGCCTTGTTGTCCTTGAGTTCCTCAGAGGAGGGCGGGAACAAAATGACCGAGGGGGTCACCGCGGGCTGACCTGCAGAGTAGAAGAAGGGCAGCAGGTCTGAGGCCTGGTGTCCACTTGGGCCCCCTGACCTCTGTGTGAAAGGAGGGGTGTGGTCAGTTTCTCTTACTCAGAGACTGTGGGTCAGAAGTTCCTTGCAGAGAAGGGAGTGCCACGCTCTCGCTCAAACATCTCCCCATCATCTTTGGGAACCTTGGTCTGGAACCCTGTCCTGGTAGAGTCCTGAGACCACAAGACCACGGCCTCCCAGAATGACATCTGACCTTCACCATGCTGTCCCTTCTGCTGACACTGATGAGCCTGTGTCAAGTTTTCTGTCTCCGTAGCTGTGAGTCTCCTGATGTCTCCTCCCATGGCAACCTTTCTGATCTGCCTGTTCCATTCGCAGTGATTCTGTGGCCTCTGGGGTCTGTTTGTCCCCAGTCTCCATCTGAGCCTATCTACTGGGCTAGAGTCATGGAAGATCAGATCTGCCTGCCTGTCCTTGGGTTTCTCTTACCCATCGAGCGTGTGTGGCATCCCCCTGTCTCATGAGATGCCACAATCTGCTGCACACTCGGCCCTTCTGTCCATTCTGGAAGTTACCTGACCTAGCCTGGGTCCTGCAGACCCTCCAGCCACCGTTTCCTTCAGTTACTGCTAACCCAAGTCCTGTCCCAGAACCTTCTACAGCCCTGCAGGCTGCTGTTAGTTCCTGGTCTGCTGAGCTGTGTCCCTGACAGTGTGCCACTTACCTCATTTCTGGTCCTGGATCCTGTTCACATAGCTCAGGGGACCTGTTCTATTTGCCTCTGACGTGTGGCTGCCCAAGCCCAACGTTAAGGTCTGGCTCTTTCCATTTCCAGTTCCCACTCCCTCAGTTCCCCCGTGCCCTCTTCCTCATGAGATGGGACTGAAGTGACCCCACAGATAAAACTGTTTCCAGGAGGGTCCCAGGAGGCAGATAGAGCAGAGGAAATTTAAGAGTCCAGGAGCTCTGGGAACAGGGACAGGAGGGAAGACAGACAAGTCTCGGGAGGTCCTCCTGTCCAAGCCCCTGTCTCTGAGGTCAGAAGGGGAGGGCAGTTGGTGATCAGCGGAGGCAAGTGGGGCTTGAACAGGGAAGGCAGAGGTCAGTGTCCCAGAACGTGGATCCAGGGAGAACACTGACACCCCGGGGACAAGACACAGAAAATGAACCAAAGCAGCAGAAAATTTCTCCAAGGCACAGGAAGGGCAGGGAAGGAGGGAAAGAGGAAACTCACCTGTGACGGTCAGCTGGGTCCCTCCGCCGAACACAACACACAGTGACACAGACTCATGCAAAAACTCCTCCCTGGGACTCCCCTACCCACCCCCATCCCCCAGCTGCAGCTGTGATGGAGGAAGCCAGGGCCACTGCCCCAGGCCATGTCTGCAGTGCAGTGAGGGCACAGGACCACCTTCTTCCCAAATCAGTGGCCCCCAACACCCAGTTCTTAGAGGAACTTGGTGGCCTGGATTTGGTTTTCCCTGTGACTCTCAACCAAGATGGGAATAAACTCACTGGGGGCATCTGTGTCACTAAAGGGTAAGGTTGCCCCAGAGGGACATGGTGTGTGTTCTCTAAGAGTCAATGCAGCCCTGATCCCTTAGTGAGACCTTGGGTAGACTAGGACGTGTCCCATGCCATCAGGATGTACTGGAAGCCATGGAATGCAGGCTGCTCAGTGCCCATCTCATGCAGGACTCCAAGGGTCTCAGCCACACCTTCCCTGAGGTTGTCCTGGGTGGGACTGGCCTGGCCAGGGAGGCTTGAGCTGGTCCCCTATGCCAATATCAACCTGTTCCTCCATGATGGCCTTAAAAGCAACCCTGCTTACCCTCTATCAGGTGTCACATGTATCAGGTCTGGTGGATTGGAGGCCATTGCTGCCTCATTTCCAGGGAGACAGTGTGAGAGTCCACAAATGGGACATACATCCATGGCTATCCCAGGCCTGGGTCAGGAAGGGCCTGTAAGAGGGGCCAACCTATTCTCTCTAGTTGAAGACCCTGTGTGTCCCAAAGGGTCTCATCTGAAATGCCAGACACCACCTGAAGAGGCTCCAGTGGGTCATTTGCATCACTGGACTTCATGATGTCATCCATAGGGAGCATTGTGACTGTGCATCCACATTGTTCCGATGCATTGAGACCATGGTTGCTGTGTGATTGTCCACCCCGAGTGCCCAGGAAACCAGCCATCTGTATGTAAAGAGACTAACAGGAGAGGCTGCATTTCCTCCTCTTTCTAGAATGTGCAACCACTCCTGTGTGACCCAGGTGCATGGGCTCTTGAGCCATGGAGCAGGAGGAGAACTGAATCAGTTATGGCAGCATCGCTTCCCAGTGCAGTACAGAGTAGCATCCATCAGTTGTGGCCACTTTGATGTCACCAAGAGGGTAGCTTTGGTAACTGTTATGGTGTAGCAAGTCATGGAGACTGGGGTGACCAAGGGAAGTGCTCAGTGTTCCCTGGGGAGGCAGGGGCTGTGTCCCAACCTTGCCATGGCCCCAAGACCAGCTTTCAGCCCCATAGCTCCTGCTCTGCAGGAGGAAGGACAGCAATAGGCGAAAACTTGGAATTGGACAGTGATATTTTGCAAGAGAAGACAGGTAAAGACACAAGCACAGCCACAATATCACACCTCATTGAACTTCATTGAAACAAAGGAAAACAGTAAAATAACAACAGTGTCAAGAGCCGTAACAGAGTAAATACCCTTTTGACATTGGAAGGAAGTTGATGATGGATTAGGTGTTTTTTGATATTTTTGAAAATGGCTTTTTAAGTTTACTTTTTGTGTATTTGAGAGGCAGAGAGGTGATGGGTAAGAGACAAGTCTTGCATGCAGTGATTCACTCCCCAAATGCCTGTAACATCTGGGACAAGAACCCCACCTGCATTTCCCATGTAGGTGTTAGTGACCCCAGTACTTGAGACATCCGCTGCTGCCTCCCAGAGCATGCATTAGCAGAATGCTAGATTAGAAGCAAGGTGAGATTGAAACTCAGGTACTCTGATAGGTCACACAGGTGCTGCAAAAAGTGGCTTGTTATTCCAGTGTCCCACATAACACCTCAATATTCTTTTTAAAAATTATTTATTTTCATTTTATTCAAACAAGAAAGGGAAGTAGAAAGATAAAACTTTCCACCTGCAGCTTCACTCTCCAGTGTTTGCTCCAGCTGGGACTCGGCCAGGCTGAAGTCAGGAAGTCTGAGACACATCCACACATCCTGTGTGGGTGGCAGGGAGCCAACGACTGGAACTCTTCCCTTGCTGCTCCCCAAGGTGAGCATTAGCAGGAGTCTCCAATCAGGAGTGCAGCAAGGACTCAAACCAGGTGATCTGGTGGGGGATGTAGGCACTCCTAGCGCTATCTTAGCTGTTAGACCTCATGCCAGCACCCAACACTTCTTGATATCCAGGAATTATTGATGATTCCTGTTTAGGCTTGATAACGGTTTGCAGATATGTTAAAGTCTGCATCTTTCTAGTACACAAGTAAGTACTTACCAGGGAAGAGATATTAAGCCTAGAATTTGCTTTCAAGTGCTGGCTAAAGGAGGAGTCATTTTGTTGTGAGTGGGTCAGCATTATCTGTGAATTGATTATTTTGGGGTCAGGAGATGGGAACATGAGAGAGGTTAATATTCCTCTATATCCTGTCTCCTTACTCTAATGTTGAAAGCTCCTTGTGATAAAAGCATATAACAAATGACAGGGACAGCAGCCGGGGTGGCTGGATCCAGGCCTTGTACTCAGCAGGACCATGCATGTGCCCTGGAGACCTCAGTTGTGTTTTTCTTGCAGTGGAGTCAGAGAGATGCTGTGGGCCACTGGGACCCCCAAGCTCCCTTCTTACTCTGAGTCTGGGATTTGGGAGAGGAGTGGCTCTGCCCAGACTCCCAAAAGACCCCTGTCTCTGTTCCTTTGAGGCTCTAGAGCTCCCTGTGTGTGTAGTCGCTAGCTGTGGGCTGGCTGGGCCACCCAGGAGCTCTGCTGAAGGCTGCTGCCGTGTCCCTAGGAGCTGGAGGCACAGAGCAGGGCCTGAGAGCACCTGGGCCCCTGAGCCCTGAGGTGGCTGGGCCTGCACATGCACAGGCTACTTCAGTTGTTTTCAGGGCCCCTTGTCTCTGCCATCAGGCTGCAGGTACATCTGGGGGCTGAGCCAGGAGAGCAAGGGAGAGAGAGGGTCCTCATGGTCAGTGGGTTGGGGGAGTGGGGAGCTGTGTGCCCTGGAAGCCTGACCTTGTCTGTCACTCTCAGTGCATACTCACTCCTCCGTGACCTAATATGATCTGGCCCTGACTCCATTCCTAAATTTGACCTTGACTCTACCTTTGTATGGCAATCGACAGAAGTCCATTCAGTCCTTATCACACATTCACTCTTCAGGAAAGCAGAACCTCATCAGCCTCCAGCTGTCAACCCCCATCAACGATTTCATCCTGGAGTCTGACCTCAGTGGTCTGATTCTTCAAGATTGATACCCCAGCCTCATGCAAACCTGAGGTACTCAAACCTGAGCACACACCAACCCTCCTGTGTACCTCAGCCATGTGCCCAGCAGTAGCGATAAGAACATTCTGCTCTAGGCAAGTGCTAATGGGTTTGTCAGATGGTTGATTGACCGAGCAGGATTGCACACTTGGTAGATTCCATTCACTGTTTCCCTGCCATGGGACTTGTCAGTACCTTTATTTGGATAACTTGTATTGGGAAAGTTCAAGAATGCACTGCTGTGCTCTATCTTCTTTCCTTTCCACCACTTGCTAGAGACAGCACAGCCATGGAGCCCAAACCTGGTAAATCTTCCCTGCGTGGTCCCTGCTGTGGGACAGGGCAGGTCGACCTCTGTTCCTGTGGGATCTTGACCATGGCTGAAGGGTCTGCAACCCCAGGTCCTTCCCTCCCTCCCTCCCTCCCTCCTGGGAACCCCCTTCCTGTCCACTGGTTCCCCTCTCTGGATCCCACATCAGTTCTTCAGGGCTCCGTCCTCTCCCAGGGGGCACAGAGGGCTGCTCCGCAGGGTCAAGCTCCTGCTCGGGACTCAGTCCCTCCAGACAGAGGGAGTTCGCCTGGTTCCCTGGTGGACTGTGGGGGTCACAGAGGATGGGATCTCACCAAGAAGTGCCCCTGTCCCTGTGCAGGGATCCCTCAGACACACAGGTGAGCAAACCCTTACAGTGCCTTGGAAATGCTGCTCTTCTAAGATCAGGTCTTAGTAAGGTGGAGACCAGGAAGAAGGGAGTGAGGCCACCTCCTCTGACTGCCCAAGCTGTGCTCAGGGGACAGTAGATAACTGGAGGAAAGGGCCTAGGTGAGGATGGTTCTTCCTGGGTGATGGCTGGACATGACCTGGGAGTACCCATAGGCCCATGGATGCCCGGATACCCCTGCCAACACTGAGAATCCCAAGAGGTGTCAGTGAATATGAGATGTGAAAAAAACGAGATGGACAAAGGTTTCTGATTGAAAAAGTGAGGATATTTATTGAGAGTTTTTTGGGTACAAGGGAAGGGTGGGATGATGGTGGGTAGGGGACAAGGTGAGAACCTGCTGGGGTTTGCAGCTCCTGGCCCCTGGGGGTGGGTGAGGGTGGGGCCCTAGGAGCATTCTGCAGGGGCCAGGCTCTTCTCCACAGTGTGGCCCTCGTGCGTGACCTGGCAGGTGACACTCTGGTAGGATTTCCATTGATTGGCTGACAGGCTGAGGAAGCTGCTGGCCGCGTACTTGTTGTTGCTCTGTTTGGAGGGCTGGGTGGTGTCCACGCCCTGGGTGACAGAGTTGCCATCTGCCTTCCAGTTTACCTTCACGGTTCTGGGGTAGAAGTCATTGATCAGACACACCAGGGTAGCCTTGTTGTCCTTGAGTTCCTCAGAGGAGGGCGGGAACAGAATGACCGAGGGGGTCACCGCGGGCTGACCTGCAGAGTAGAAGAAGGGCAGCAGGTCTGAGGCCTGGTGTCCACTTGGGCCCCCTGACCTCTGTGTGAAAGGAGGGGTGTGGTCAGTTCCTCTTGCTCAGGGACTGTGGGTCAGAAGTTCCTTGCAGAGAAAGGAGTGTCAGGCTGTCCCTCAAACATCTCCCCATCGTCTTGGGAACCTTGACCTAGGGCTCAGGTCAAGCTTCTCCGTGCTGTCCCTTCTGCTGACACTTATGAGCCTGTGACACATTTTCTGTCCCCAGAGCTGTGAATCTCCTGTGGGCTCCTTCATCAGCCATTGCTTATCTGCCCGTTCCACTTGCAGAGACTCTGTGGCCTTTGAAATGTGGGGTCTGTTTCTCCCCAGTCTCCATCTGAGCCTGGCTACTGGGCTAGAGCCTTAGAAGATCATATCTGTTTGCGTGTCCTGGGTTTCTCTTACCCACCAATATCTGTTTGCGTGTCCTGGGTTTCTCTTACCCACCAAGTATAGGTGGTGTCCCCCTGTCTCATAAGAGCTTTGCTGCTGCACACTCTGTCCTTCTGTCCATTATGGAGGTGAACTGTCCCATGCCTTGGTCCTGCAAACCCTCCAGCCACCCTTTCCTTCAATGACTCCTAACCAAGCCTTGTTCCCAGAGCCTTCTCCACCTTGCTGCAGGTGCCCTGAGTCCCAGGCTGGCACAGCTCTGTCCCTTGGCACTCACAGTGCAGCTCGCGGAACCCCTGCACATTCTCCCTCATTCTTAGTCCTGAATCTCACAGCTCAGGGGACCTGTCCTGTTCCTGTGAGTTGTGACTGCTCAACCTTAGCCTTGAGGGTTCTGGCTCTTTCCATTTCCAGTTCCCACTCCCTCAGTTCCCCCGTGCCCTCTTCCTCATGAGATGGGACTGAAGTGACCCCACAGATAAAACTGTTTCCAGGAGGGTCCCAGGAGGCAGATAGAGCAGAGGAAATTTAAGAGTCCAGGAGCTCTGGGAACAGGGACAGGAGGGAAGACAGACAAGTCTCGGGAGGTCCTCCTGTCCAAGCCCCTGCCTCTGAGGTCAGAAGGGGAGGGCAAGTGGGGCTTGAACAGGGAAGGCAGAGGTCAGTGTCCCAGAACCTGGATCCAAGGAGGAACCCTGACACCCCGGGGACAAGACACAGAAAATGAACCAAAGCAGCAGAAAATTTCTCCAAGGCACGGGAAGGGCAGGGAAGGAGGGGAAGAGGAGACTCACCTGTGACGGTCAGCTGGGTCCCTCCGCCGAACACATAACACTGTGACACAGACTCATGCAAAAACTCCTCCCTGGGACACCCCTACCCACCCCCATCCCCCAGCTGCAGCTGTGATGGAGGAAGCCAGGGCCACTTCCCCAGGCAGCATCTGGCACCCAGCCACCTGCTCTCCCCAGCTCAGGGACAGGACAAATGTCCTCACATGCCCAGCTCTAAAAAGGACTTGTTGTCCTTGATTTGATTTCCCCAGCGACCCTCAGCCAAGATGAGAATAAATTCACTGGACTGCTTCTGTGTTGCTAAGGGGTGAGGTCCCCTGTGAGGGACACGGTGTGTGTTCTCTGGGAGTTGATACAGCCCTGACCCATTGGTGAGACCTTGGTTGAGGATAGAAGGTGCCCCATGCTGTCAGGGCATGCTGGTTTCTGTGGAGTGCAGGCTGCTCAGTGCCCATCTATGGCCCCATGCAGGACTCCAAGGATCTCTGTCTCACATTTCCTGAGGTCGTCCTGAGTGGAATAGGCCTGGCTTGGGAGGCCTAGGCTGGTCCCCTAGGAAAATATCAGTCTGGTCCTCCAGGGTGGTGTTGAGAACACCCCCTGTCGTCCCCTCTGTAGGGTCTCACATGTGGCAATTCTGTTGGAGTGGAGGCTATTTGTGCCTTGCTCCAAAGGGAGATGGTGCAAGGGTCTGGATTATAGTCTCTAAAGGGACATGGGTCCGTGTCTACTCCCCTGCACGGGGCAGAAAGGGCCCATGAGGAGGTGAAATGTGTCACCCTAGATGTTAAGTGCCCATGCAGTCCCCAAGAGTCTCAGAGATCTCAGCGGCTGTCGCTCCCCGTCTTCGTGGAGGAACGACACAGGACCCTGCGCTGTTCTTTTGTCTGCTCGGCCCTCCCCGGGTTTACTGCTGGTTCTTCCCGGGTTGGCTACCATCCCTTCCACCTCCGTGGAAGGGCGGTTCCCCCTGCCACTTTTCCCCACTTCCGCGGGGGAGCGGCACACCGCTGGCCGGCTCTCTCGGGGGCTGCACAGGTGTTCCTTCAGATAGATGTTCCCCTTAGATGTTCCTGGTGCATGTTGTCTCTCTCCTCCTTTATAGTCCTCCTCCACCAATCCCAACTCAGCTGCCCACACGCCGAGTACGCTGCTCTCCTCCAATCAGGAGCAGGTCCTGCTGTTTATTGGTTGAACTGGAGGCAGCTGTGTAGAAGCTGTTTTCTCCTCTCCCAGCGCCATATTGTGGGAGAGCAGATGCATAGAATAAGTCTTAATTCCAGTAACTTAGTCTAGTCCGGGTTGCTCCCCACAAGCGGCCACCTGAAGCAGCTCTCGGTGGGTCAGTCTCCATCATGGTAAGTCATGACATGGTCCTGGGTGAACACGATGACCGTGCATCCATGCTCTTCAGATGCACTGAGGCCACGTTAGTGGTGACCATAGGTTGTGTAGCCTCAAGGACTGCAGGTCATCATTTTTTAAGAGGTGACAGGTGGCACAGCTCCAGTGATTTCATCCATTTGGAGAGTGAACAATTCATGGAAGACCGATCTCTCTCTCTCTCTCTCTCCTCTCTCCTCTCTCCTCTCTCCTCTCTCCTCTCTCCTCTCTCCTCTCTCCTCTCTCCTCTCTCTCTTCTCTCTTCTCTCTTCTCTCTTCTCTCTTCTCTCTTCTCTCTTCTCTCTTCTCTCTTCTCTCTTCTCTCTTCTCTCTTCTCTCTCTCTCTCTCTCTCCCCTCTCTCTCTCTGCCTCTGCCTCTATGTAACTCTGCCTTTCAAATAAATAACTAAATCTTAAAAACTATTTATTTTTATTTTATTTAAGCAGCAGCAAGACCATCAAAGAAAGACAAACTCAGGCAAATCTTCCATGTACTGGTTCACTTCCTAAATGTTTGCAACAGCTGGGGCTAGAGTAAAGCCAGGAAGTCTGGAATCTATCCAGGTCTCCCACGTGGATGACAGGGAACCAGCTACTTGATCCATCTCATCTGCTGCTTTCCAGTAGGCTGGAATTGGAGTAGGGCAGGGAGTCAAACCCAGGCCCACTGGTATGGAATGCAAGTCTCCCTGATGGTGTCTTAGCCCCTAGGCCAAATGCCTGTCCCCTAACACCTTTGAGATATCAGAGAATTATTGATAATTTTTGTTTAGGTTTGATAATGGTGTGCAAATATTTTTAAGTTTCTATCTTTTAAGGTTATAAATGGATATTTACAGATGAAAGATATTAAGTCCAGAATTTGCTTTAAAATATTCGCTAAGGAGTCATTCTGTTGTGGGTGGGTTTTTCAGCAGTCTGTAAATGGGTTATTTTGAGCTCTGGTGATGAGAATATGAGAGACCTTAATATTCCTCGTCTTCTGTCTCTGTGCTTTGGTGTCAAAAAGCTTCCCTATCATCAAAATGTATCATGGGACTCTTGTGCTCAGTGGGTTAAGCAGCACCTGGGATGCTGGCATCCCATATTGGAGTACCAGGTGGAATCCTGGTTGCTCCGTTACTGATCTAGCTCTCTGCTGATTTGCCTCTGAAGAGCACTGGAGGATGTTCCAGGTACCTGGGCCCCTGCCACCTGCATCCCTAGGATACCAGGATGGAGTTCCTGGCTTCTGGCTTCCACCAGTCATTGCAGCCATTTGGCTCCAGCCCTGGGCCACCTGTGAATTCTGCTGAAGGCTGTTGCCCTGTCCCTGGAGGTACAGGTGGGAGCCTGTGAGCACCTGAGACTCTAAGCCTGACAGAGATGGCCGGGTCTGCATTTCGGGGAGACTGCCTTACTCGTTTTCACGGTCCCTTGTCTCTGCCATCAGGCTGCAAGTGCATGTTGGGGCTGAGCCATTTGAAGAAGGGAAGGAGGAGGTCCTCATGGATGGGAGGTGTTGAAGAGCTGAGCCCCTGGAGGCCTGACTTTGTCTGTCACTCTCAGGATACTCACCTTGCCCTTACCTAGTCTGATCCAGCTCCAACTAGAGTCCTGAATTAGAGTCTGACCCTGCTTCCCACTCCATGCCTCTGTTGGTACTTTGCTCTTGGGCCCAGTTTTCCTCTGCTTCTCTCCTTCATGCGGGCTGCTTCTGTCCTGGAGCCTGATATCTGTATCCCAGACTCCTCATAGGCAAGGTCCAGACCCCTGCTGTGGTGAGCCTGCAGGCTGACCCTGATCTCCCCCACCATTGGGTCATCCTCCACAGCCCTGGTGTGCCACCTCCGTACCCCATGTTCTCCAGACCAGCTCCACAAAACACTGGCATCTTTCAGGGCTCTCAGGGCGGAGAAGTGGCTCAACGTGATTTGGGAAACACTGGGTTTTACCACTTTAACTGTTTCTCTTGCCAGTGGCTTTATTTAAGGAAATACTGTGAAAGTCTGAGGAATGCGTATTTCATTAGGTTTTATTTTCCGGGCTTTTCCATGGCTCTGTGATGATGACAAACCATCAACTCCCATCCTGACAAGTGTTCTCCTGGCTGGGTCTCTTGTGTGGAAACCAGAAGTTCAGTCTCTTTTCCTTCCCTTCAGGCTGTGAGCTTGGCTCAGGGGCACCTACCCCGGTGATTCAAAGCCTACTCCTGGCTCCTAGCTCCTGGGACCTTGCTCATTTCTCCCCCATTCTCTCACTGAATTCCTCTCCTTTCCCAGGTGGACAAGGAGGGCATCCCAAGGCTGGGCTGCAGGGAGCTCGCCTGGGTCTCTGCTGGGCTGAGGGGAATGATGGAAGATGGGATAGCACCAGGAAGTGCCCCTGTGTCTGAGTGGAGACCTCTCAGCTCAGGAGGTGAGCAGACCCCAAGGCAGCCTTAGAAATGTGGCTGAGGCATGATTGGGTCTTTGTCGAGCAGGGCTGTGGGATGGAGACTCCAGACAGTGGGCAGCTGGGGAAAGGGTATCTGGATGAGGACAACTCATCCGCGCAATGCCCCAGGGAGACCCTGGGCTGCTCTACTTGAGCCATTTCCCCACTAGGTGCCAGGAATTCCCTCACCTCTCACTGAGAAGCCTGGAGAGGTCAGGAATGAATTGTTGACACGAAATAATGAGATCGAGCAGGTGTCTGATTGACAGTGAGGATATTTATTGAGAGTTTATTGGGTGCAAGGGGAAGGGCTGGGATGACAGGGGGGAGTGAATGGAAGGTTCTGCAGCTCCTGGCCCCTGGGAGTGGGTGAGGGTGGGGCCCTAGGAGCATTCTGCAGGGGCCAGGCTCTTCTCCACAGTGTGGCCCTCGTGCGTGACCTGGCAGGTGACACTCTGGTAGGATTTCCACTGATCGGCTGACAGGCTGAGGAAGCTGCTGGCCGCGTACTTGTTGTTGTTCTGTTTGGAGGGCTGGGTGGTGTCCATGCCCTGGGTGACAGAGTTGCCATCTGCCTTCCAGTTCACCTTCACAGTGCTGGGGTAGAAATCATTGATCAGACACACCAGGGTAGCCTTGTTGTCCTTGAGTTCCTCAGAGGAGGGCGGGAACAGAGTGACTGAGGGGGTCACCGCGGGCTGACCTGTGAGACAGAGAAAGGGGTGATATGCTAGAGGTGAAACCTGGTGTTGGTAAATCCCCCCTTGCCATTTTCCCATCTAAAGTCTGTGACTGTTCACAGTGTGGCCGTCTGTTCCTTACCCTGGGACCCTCCTCCCTCCTCTTTCTCTTTTGCCGATGGAGCCCCCTACAGAGCAGACAGTCCTGCACCCTCCTGAAGCCCTTCCATGTCTCCTGTCCCAGGTGAGCTGACCCAGCCCCTCGCCTCTGCAGCCTCAGCTTCTTCCGCTTTGTAATTGGAGCAGCCTTGCTCCTCTCTGGTCCTCAGAGGCTGAGATTGGAATCTGGCCCTGAGCTGCTGAACCCCAGCCCCAGTGGAGGCCTCTACTTCACTTTATTCTTTCAGTGCCTGGAGACTCCTCTGAACAAAGGTCCCACCCTCCCAGCAGCACAGTCAGGGCTGTGTGGGGCGGCCCCAGCCTATGCTCAGCATGTGAGGGAGGGCCCTGAAGCCTCCTGCCCCCTCAGGCTCTGTCCCAGTGAGGCCCCCCTCCCTCTTGCCCCCCCCAGGGACTCACTTTTGCTTTGGCTCCTGGGAATGCTCCCCAAACCAGAGCAGAGTGACCCCCATGGCTGCCCCAGCAGCCTCTCATTCCACGCAGCAGCCAGAGCTTCTCTGAGCTGCCCTCTGCTCCCCCCTCCTGGGCCACTGGGTCTACTGTGCCCTTCAGGGAAGGCAGGAGGCCCGGCCATGGTCAGGGGAGACATGGACCCCAGGGGCTCCAGATCTGCTCCTTTGTGACTAGCCCTGGGCTCTGGTCACCTCACCCAGTCTGCCCTGTCCCTCAGTGTCCCTGTGTCCTCATGGCCCAGCAGAGGCTCAGATAGCACAGCCTAGCATGAGTCAGAGCCCTTTCCACCCTCTGCTGGCCCTCCCTCAGAGGGATCCTGTGCCTCTGGGTGCTGGGGTCACAGCCCCGGCCATGCCCCTGGGCCTCCCGGGTGCTTCTCCCAGCCTAGATGGACCTCAGGCCCTCAACCCAGACCCTGGAGAGTCAGGGGCTGTCTCTAATGCCTGCTGGAACCCCCAATAAGAACTCAGACCTTGGAGACTCAGGGACTGTCTCTCATGGCTCCTGAAGCCCCTGATCAGAACCAGTCTTTTCCCCCTGCATGGACCTGCCCTGAAAGAGGAAAGGAGCCTCTGTCCCTGAGTAACCCCTGGCCCAGGCCCTTGGACCTAGCTGTGTCCTGCTGTTGGGATAAGAAGGCTCCTGCTGCTGGGGCCCTTCTTGTGGGCTAGAGACCACCTGAGACCACACATGTCCCCCAGAACCCATGGGAAAAAGGGGAACGCAGAGGGGTGAAGCCCCTAGGGAGAGAACACAGACAGCAGGAGGTGAGATGGGAAGGAGAGGTGGTGAGAGTCACTTACCTGTGACAATGACCTTGGTCCTGCTGCCGAAGACATACCACGGTGACTGAGACTCGGACCAAAACCCGTGGGGCAGCACCTGGAGCTGGCCCTGTGGTGGGCAGGGCTGGTGCAGGAATCTGCCGGGTGTAACGAGCGTAGGCTTAGCAGACAGGGCTGCTTTCTCGACACAGGGCAGATGGGTGGACAACCCATCTCCCCCCAGCCCTCAGAGGCCTGCCCCTCATCTGAGGCGGGTGCTGCCCACAGCCCTGAAGCCACCCTCATATACGTCCCCCTCTGAGGCTGTCAGTGCTTATGGAATGCACACTAGGAGCTCAGCAGATCCCTGAGAGACACATTCTCTCAGGTCACCATGAGATGTAGCAGAGAGACCTGCGCTGGTTCAGACCTGCCCTACCTCTCCTGGCCTCATTTAGGGTCTCTGAGTCTTCCTCCCCAACTAGGTGCCAGAGTTCAGCCAGGCTGGCCTCCCTGGATCTGAGGACACCGGATCATTCCTGACTCAAGGCACTCCCACGTAGAGACTCCTCCTCTTTCATTTCTACTCATGGAGATGCAGATCATTCCCACCTGATTCATGAAGCCTTCTCTGATGTCGCAAGACCACTCTTTCCAGCTGTTGATCGATCACTTGATCCATCCATCAATCTACAGATCCATGTACCCATCCAACTGTGTATGTTTGTCCATCTATCTAGCCACTGATTTATCTGATCACCATCTGTCATCCATCCATCCATCCATCCATATATCTACCTGTCCATCTATTCATCTGTGGATCCCTCTGTCATTCATCAGTCTAACAATGCTACCAACAGCCTGCCTGCACCAGAAACGGTTTCACACACTGGGACATGGGAAAGCCTCTCTGGCTCTCAGGTCAAGGCCAACAAAGCCCTGATCTCAATCAGCTCTGCATTTCCTCCCTAGTCCCTTGATGTCTCTGCAAGAGCTCTCACTTTTCTGGAGACTTCTTGGTGTCTGAGACCACTCACTCCTCTCCTCAGCTTCCCTTTCATCCAGGCCCAGATATGGTTGCTATCCCCAGACCATCACTCTGGCTCCTTCTTTCCCTGGACTCTCCCCACTCTTCTGCACCTGACCCTCACTAGGTACTCCCATGACTGCTCAGGGTCTCAGATCCTGGTTTCCAGCCCTGACTTGTCCTCTTGACTGCAAATTTACATACTTTCTGCGTCCTGAGCTGGTCTCTGCATGACTGCTTGCCTCAACCTGAACTCCTCATTTCCCTGCAAACTCAACACTGTGCAGTCCTCATGTCAGGCAGTTCTCTCCAAGCCAGAAGTCTGGAGTCATTCCCCTCATTGAAGCACTCTCTGAGTTCCAGACATCTTATCTCAATAGCAAACATCATTCAAGTACTCAAAAGAGAAAGAAAAAAATACCAAACTTAGACTGTGACACTCAGAGTTTTGTTGGCAAGAATTCTCAGTCTTTGCCAAATCTGAGTTTTCCTCCCAAGATAATTCACTTCTGTTGGAATCGCTCACCTCAGTAGCAGGACCATTTGACCATGATTGTGTGTTTGTTTGTTTGTTTGTTTGTTTTTTGACAGGCAGAGTGGACAGTGAGAGAGAGAGACAGAGAGAAAGGTCTTCCTTTGCCGTTGGTTCACCCTCCAATGGCCGCCGCGGCCGGCGCGCTGCGGCCGGCGCACCGCGCTGATCCGATGGCAGGAACCAGGAGCCAGGTGCTTTTCCTGGTCTCCCATGGGGTGCAGGGCCCAAGCACCTGGGCCATCCTCCACTGCACTCCTTGGCCACAGCAGAGAGCTGGCCTGGAAGAGGGGCAACTGGGACAGAATCCGGCGCCCCGACCGGGACTAGAACCCGGTGTGCCGGCGCCTCTAGGCGGAGGATTAGCCTAGTGAGCCGCGGCGCCGGCCCCATGATTGTGTTTAAGACTTTCACACAGAAGATCTTTGAAACAGAAGTTCAGAGTGGCGATGTGAGTTCACACTTGCGTCTGATTTAAAGAAAGCAAGCAGCCAGCCTCTTATTAATTGTTGAAGGAAACTGTTCAACTTGACAAAAGGTATCTTTCCAAACAATCTTTACACTTAAAGGCAAAACATTTTGGAGTCAGAAACAAGGCAAGTTTGCTCACTCCCACTTCTGTTGTTCAATGTATGAGGGCACTTCAAAAGTTCACGGAACAAAAATGGAATGACAGGATGTTTATTTTGGTGCAAAAAAAATGAAATCTGTGCATATTTTTTCATGTCATGCATTTTTTCATGACATTCTTAGACCCCTTTTATGCATGAATTTGAATCTTTTTTGTACCAAAAATAAACTTACCCTTCATTCCACTTCCTGCAAACTTTTTGAAGAATTTTACAGATTCTGGCATATGAGCTGATATGGGAGGGGGAAAGGTTTAAATATTAGTAAAAAAGAGAGAAAATGATTGTTTACACATGCTGTGATACTAAAGAGAAACCCCAAGGAGAATCAGCTGAAGAACTGTTAGAATTAGGATATGAATTAAAGTGGCTGAACACAAGAGCAGGTCTTCTTGCTACTCAAACAATAATCTTTCAGGGTATGAAACTGGGGGAAAGTTTCCAACTTCAATAAAATTGTATTACAGAAACCCAAGAAATAAATCACCAAGTATGTAAGATTTACTTGAATGAAATAGAAAAATACTTGACCAGTAAACAATGTAAAAATGAGTCACCAAGGAGTAGATCATGTTCCTGGATGAAGATACTGAGCATCCACAGGAAAACAAACACAACACAAAAAGTACACTTTTTAAAAATTAAAAAACTGATTCTAAAATCCAGCACTAAGAGTGGTGGTGGATAAAAAACAATTATTTTGAAAGCCTTTATTTAAATGACAGGTCCTTTCCCTACCAGATACCACCACATACTATAGAACTAAAATGATTAAAACAGAGTAGAGCAATGCAGCAGTAAACTAACAGACAAGAGAACCACAGAGAGAACGCCATAAACCATTCAGTATTTGATAAAAGTTGCATTTATAGTCAACAAATGTGTGATGATTGACTTCCATTTGGAAAATAAATAGGTAATATTTCTATGTAAAAAAATGAATTCCAGATCAAGTAAAACAAATGCAACAACCTACCAAAATAGTGGAAGGACTAGAATAAAATGGAAAAGTAATTTTATAATATTTCTACACATGGAGCAGATCAGAGAAATAATAAAGAGAAGTTCAGAGGACAACATTATGGTGCAGTGGATTAAACTACACTGGAAACACTGGCTGGAGTGCCCGTTAGAGTCCTGGATGCTTCACTTCCAATCCAGCTTCCTGCATTTAATGCACCTGGAAAGGCAGTGGGTGAGGCCCCAAGTACTTGGGCCCCTGCCACCAGTGCCGGGGAATAGGATGGAGTTCCTGGATCCTGGCTGCAGCCTGACCTGACCTGGCTATTGCAGCCATTTGGGGAATGAAACCAGTGGAGAGAAGAGCTCATTCTGTCTCTCCCTCTCTCTCTTGCATTCTGCCTTTCAAATAAACAAACATATTTTTATTTTAAAAAGTTCAAACTAACCCAACACATAAAAATTAATTGCTTTATGACGAAAGATTCCATAAACAGAAGGCATAAAAAAGACCAGGGAAAAACATTTGTAACATATTTAGTAAATAAGAAACTAATACCCCAACTGTAGGAAGAGTTTCCGTAAGTTACACCAGAGGATTTGAGCAATGGCCAACCAGTTAATTCACAGAAGAAATAAAATCAGTCAATTAAAATATGAAAACACAATCTACTTCACCAATGATCAAATAAACAATAAAATAACAAACACTATCTACTGTTTGCCTGTCAGACAGGCAAAATAGAGAACCAATGGGTACTAGCACAGTGTTGGGCACTGTCACTCAAGCGAGTATAAGCTGCTGCAGTCTGTTGGATGCATAACCAGGCACTGCCTGCAAGGTTTCAGAAGTACCTCTTCTCTGACACAGCAGTTGCACTGTTAGACACCCACCTGTGGACACGCCTAAGTTGGATGTGTCCACACCCGCACACCTGCACACAGACACAAGGACTTCCATGGCAGCATCACTCGCATGGGTTCTATCAGACGCAGCCTAAATGTCCACTAACAAGAGGACGCATAAATGCATTCTGGTCCATCCATTCTTAGCTCACAGTGCCGGAATGCTTAGAACATGGCAGATGCACAGGGACTGCTATTGGAAATGTCTATGATAGGTCACTTAAAAAGCTTCAATCCCTGTGCAGGACAAAGGCTGGGGTGCACGAGACCCCTGTTGTTTGCCGACTCCCCCCAGTCCAACTCCTTGCATGCTTAAGTCATGCTGCTGCTCTGCCTAGATCCTGAGCCAGCTGGGGCACCCCCACACAGAGTGAGCACCCATTCCCCTAAAACTGGCTGTGGGTCCATCCCAGTAACTGGACAGCCCTCACGTTTCAGGGCCACCCTGCCTGCACGTTGGCCTATCCCCCAGTGTGCATTTATGGACAAGTCTGAGAGTACGTCCTTGGGGAAGACTGAGCCAGCCCTGACTCTTCTCTTGGGCCACTTGTTTTAAAACACAGAATCTGCTACTGGGGTCGCACAGGTCCTCTCACTGTCCTGGGACTGTCTGCGCCCCTGTGCTCTGTAAACAGCGAGAACAATGGGAACGGCCTTGCAAGGTGCTCAGAGGGAGGTTCTGTCCCTGAGCTCTAGTGCCCACTGGGTACAATGAATGGGCTGTCACAGAAGCTTATGATTTCACAGCCTGTAGAGGAGGGGGCTGGTCAGGATGCACCCGGGCCCCCCGCAGACCCTACTCTGAGCATTTGCCCTGGCAGCACCTGCATCTGGATGGGTTTGGGCTTCTGGGGGAGAGGACCCGTCCCAGAAGTTGACTTGGGCTGAGTGTCCTTGTCTGAGGGCCATTGAATGGCAGCTGGAGCCCAGGGTGAAGGCTGGATGACAGCTCAGCAGTGGGATGGGGAGTGGCTGCATCCTGCTCCCAGCAGGCACAGAGGCTACCTCCTGCTGTGGACTCCTGCCCCTGCCTGTCTGTTCCACCCAGAGGACTAGGGGAAGGCAAGAGACGCTCAAAATTCAAATGGAGCTGGAACACTCAGGAACCCAGATCAACAATACTTCAAGGCAATCTTCAAATAAAAATGAATGCAAACCAATCCATGACCGACAAACATGGACATGACCCAGG